GATCCAGTTCTATATGATAGATCATCATATAAACATTTGTCTCAAATTAATAATGTTACAACATTTGTTAATACAGATCAACGATTACACTCGTTTCTTGATGAAATAGGTTCACCACCTAAACTTAATAATCCACAATCATATATACAATGGACATTTCTTCAAATGAATGATGTTTATGAACTAATACCATTAAGTGGGGGTAAAAAAGGTGGTTTAGCTCGTGTAGCAACAATACGACAATTACTTCTTCAAGAAAATCCAAATACAATTACAATTCTAGCTGGTGATGTTGTTAGTCCATCAGCTTTAGGTATGAAAAATTGTTTATTACGCTATGATATGTAAATACATGGGAACGACAGATGTCTTACGTTTACTTCTATTTTGATCAAGATTGTCTGATGAATAATAAACAAGTTATTCGATTGATTTCGTCGTTATCATATTGAGTATAGTCAGCTGTATTTCACGTATCGTTTGTTGCTTATCAAGATTAGTATCTTTTTCTTCATTTCTACATGAAAAGCGTTATCATTTTTATCATATTAACAAACTGAATACAGCTGCTCTATATGTATGTTTTTTCAGCAGTTTTTCATTAGATATATGCTAAGATACATATACGAAGACATATTTTGAAATAGTAGAACTATAAAAAAAACCAACAGATATCTTTACATATTTTAATCTCATTAAATACAATTGAATTCTTCATACCCAAAACAGTGTCTTACTCATCCATGAAAGCTGTTGATTTGCATGATATTGCTAAGATCATTAATCATAATTAGAATGTATATATATGTTCTAATGCATTCTATCAATAAAATGGATAACTTTATTATTTTGGTTTACAATTCTTGTCAACATACCATAACAGATAAAGCTAATAAAGTCTTGTCTATACTTAGGAATAGAAAAAAAAAACGAAATATGATCGACAGTTTATTATTGACACATGATAGTGTTTATAATAACTTTTCAGCAATGTCATCATTTATTAATGTTTGTTTATATGAAATCTAACAAGGAAAATTTGCCAAATGATAAATCGTTTTTGAATCGAGACTATATATATTATGTAAATTCAAATGAACTATGAATAGTCCTAAAAAAGACTTCGTGTCATTAAATTATTCATACGAAGATACTACAATTTAAAATTCTTTTTTCCTAGCTTTCAATTATTTAAATATTTCTTTTCGATTTGAATATTAAAGGTAATAGTATTGTAAATGGATCAATGTTAAATGGAAAACAAATGATTGCTACCTTAAATGTACTTGGTCTTGATTATGCAACATTAGGTAATCATGAATTTGATTTAAAAGAAGAATCATTAAGACATCGTTTAAATGAATCACGATTTAAATGGATAGCATCAAATGTTTATGAAATTAATTCAACAAAACCATTTCATAATGTCATACCATATAAAATCATAACAATATTAAATATAAAAATTCTTCTCATTGGTTTAACAATTGATGAAAATTTGGGACGTTCATCATCTAAACCTTATGTTAATATAACATCTCAACAAACCTTGCCACAATTTACAGCACATTATATAAAATATCTTCATCATGATTTAAATTTACAATGGGATGTACTTATTTGTTTAACGCATTTAAATATGCAAAATGATATTGAAATAGTTGAACATAATCCTGCTATTGATGTTGTTATGGGTGGACATGAACATGAAAATTATTATTTAAAACGTGGAACAAAATATACACCAATATATAAAGCAGATGATAATGCATTTACTGTATTTATTCATCGTTTTGCATATCAACCAAAAACAAAACAATTATTAATTTTTTCTAAATTAACACAAGTATCACCACTGTTTTCATCTGAACCTGAAACAGCTAAAATAGCAAATTATTTTTATCAAGCTGGTTTACAAGCATATAGAGATGATGGTAATTACTAGATTAATAAAAGGTTTTTCAACTTATTATTCACTATATATTATAAATGCATGTTCATCATAAGATCATACTCATAAAGTGGATACACAAGACATCCAAGATATCAACTAAACATTTATCTAGAGTCTTATTGTGTAGCCTTCTAGCTACACGTTTGGATATGATAAGAGACGATAGCTACGATAGCGCTTTTAATTTTACTCTAGATATCGTATTGGTTTTTTCGCTGGAGAGCTCTAGAAATCATTTACAATTGGAAGTCATTCTTATGAATTTTCACATTGGAGATCTTACAGTATCGAGAATGAATACTGATCATACTTATGAACTCTCATAGTTAATTAATCAAGTTTACATATAAAATATCTATCGCATCGTTAATGAAGGAACCACCCGACGTAATACTTAGTGTTGGAAATGAGATCAGTTATTACGTAGGAGCTATGATCGTTTTGTCTTTCACACAGCATTTATAAAAATTTTAATGATTTAAGGAACTATTTTATGTGATTGATTCTTTCACCTATTTATATTCTACCTAGGTTATGTTCCTGAACGTATAATATGTGTTTTACCTGCTGGACTTAATTTTGATGGTCGTTCGGCAGTCATACGTGCTCAACAAACACATCTAACAAGAGCATTATGTAATGCTATGATGGATGCAGCTAATACAACAATATGTGTATTTAATGCAGGTGCTATTCGTGTTGATGATCAATTAATGGGTACAATAACACAATATGATGTATTACGTTGTTTACCATTTTCAGCTGATGTTATATCGTTACGTGTTTATGGTTCAACACTTGTTAAAATTTTAAATCGTGGTTTAATGAATGCAAATACTGGAATGTTTATATCCTATGCTGGTGTAGAATATGATAGTCGAGAAGAAATATGGTATCTTCAACAAAATCGACAACCGATTGATAATGAAAATTTAATATTAACAATTGTTTCTATACCCTATTTTATACAAAATACAGAATTAAAACATTCATCAGAAGATTTTACTACATATACAACAATAACACGAGCTTTTATTGAGTATCTTGAAAAAACTTATGAAAAAAAACCACATGATACGTTATCATGAAATCTACATACGCAAAAATAGAAATAAAAAAATCAACGATCATCATTCTATTTGTCTGATATATAATTGTCTTTTTCGTTCACTAGTCATTATGTAGAATTTTACTTGTGTGAATCCATGAATGACTTAGCTTTCTTTATTATATATATATATATATAATTTAGTTTATTGTAATCCTATGTTTGTTTTCTTAAATTGTAAAAGATTTACTTTATATATATGTATACATATAAATAGATTAGAATTCCTAGGGTATGGGTGTGTGTATTGATTGAGAGAAGACCCATTCATATCCACACTATCTCGACCGTCGCATAAATACAAGAAAAAATGTAGTTTGTAGATGAATAAATGAAAAAATTACCTAGAGATAAATTCATAAATGCTGATTTCCTAAAGTAACGAACGTGATAGATAGAAGTACTTCATTAAATATTTTTTTTGTTTGAATTGACTACCATTGAGTCGTATTGCATCATTTATAAAGGTGTTTGTAATAGTCATTTATTTTTCATATTGTATCACAAGTTTCCGGAGACATGGAACATATGTAATTACATGACGTAGAAATGAACGTGTATCGTATAATATCCAATTGAAAATGATGACCTCGAAAATTATTACAATAAGTGAATCCATCTAAGAAATTTCCAATTACGAACCTATAGAAAAATTTTTGTTTGATTTTCGCTCACTTCTAAGTTGTAGGAGATAATCAAAAATAGTCGGCTAGAATGAGAATTTCATGCTCTTTCTAAATATATATTCAAAGCTTTTTTTTTTTGGCTTGCAGTTGATTCATTAAGGGCAAAATGTTTGCAACTTTTCAGTCTTTCGAGTTCTAGTCTAGTGCAATTCATGATTTTGTAGAATATTGAATTCTCTACAACAATAGGAAGTGAAGATAATTACAAAAAACCCTTTAGATAAATTACGAATGGAAGAACAAAAGCCTGATTTATCTTTTGTAAACGATATTTTTTATTTGTTTAGGTATTTGCTTACAGCTAACTAGCCGTAAATCAGAGTGAGATACTCTCCTGCAATCTATAAGTGGACGAAAATCGAACAGAAATTTCGTACCAAGATTTTTTTACATAGGTTACATGTATTTTGAATATCATTCGACGAAGAAATGACAATATTCGACAATCATAAGCATTTGTATATTAAACACTGATCGAAGAGACTTCTTTCAGATTAGATAAAACTTTCTATAGAAAAAAAGAATAATCTACGTATAATTGTCTATTCATAGTTTTTTTTATAGTACACATATCGCACTATAAATAAAATATATGAACTTGATGATTATCAGCCGCCATTAGTAATCTTCGAATGCACCTAATATTTACCGCGAATGAAAATAATTGATCTAGGCGACCATCAAGCAAACAAATACCATCATCAAGGATTTCCACATTAATAAATAAAGTTTACAAATGTCGATTATGAAGCGAAAGTTGAGTACTATCGCCTTTTATCCATCGATTCATATTCAAATGAAACAAATTTGTACATGTAGCAAGAATACGTGCACATGCATCTGATCTACTCTAGGAACAAGCGAACGATCGGTGATTCTTCTAATAATAAATAACAAAAAGAGGAGAAAAACGGATTTTTGCACCGGAAATCATCGATTACAAACTATGGATGGTTTCTTCAAAAACAAGTTCCTGTACAGAATTTGATTAAGATTTTTCATAAAATTGACGAAAATTAAGCATTGGTTCGAAATCACTTTGTATTCGTTCAAGAAGTTTTTAATATCAACTTCAATTTGAAATCAGACAAAATTCATATCACATCATTCGAATTTTTCGACGTATTATTTTGTAAAACTATATTTATTTTATCAGGTGGTCAATATATGACATCTCTGAGCAAGTTTACGTGTATTTAATTCTATTGTTCTATCATAGTGATTATTAGAATAAAGATAAAACAGAAAGTATATGACTTGTAGTGCGGTAAGACTTCAAAAATCATTTCATGACAAGACTTGACTCTACCGATCCCATGCCATGCTATATTTCGTTTAGCAAAAAACTTTTTTTACTTTTGAACTCTTTACTGATAATGTTTCTATTTGAAAACTTTCTTTAATATAGAATAAAAATATGCATTAAAAAGATAAACGTCTATTAGACTAAGAAGAAATCAGCAAAATAATTTCGATCCTACATTGTTAAGTTTTCTAGTGGAAAAGTTTTGTAAAAGGATGAAAAATTTTTTCACGAAATAGATACAACAAATGATTAATTATTATTAAAAAGTCTATCTAAAATATCTGAATAAGGATGGTTAATTTTCAATGATAATAAACTAAAATTTCGTTGGAAAATTGCTGAAAAATTAAAAAAAATAAATTGTATATCAAAATAACGATCAATATTCAAATTATTTTAATTCTTGCACAATTGATAATTTATTTGATATAAAAAAATTATCTTCAAGATATTTTATTAAAAAATTTATTATGAAATATTATATTTACTTGGGCATTCGATTTAGAAAATTTTAATGATAATGATAAATTTTATTCACAAATGAAAAATTTCAAAAACAAGTAGAATTACGATGTATTTCATTGATAAATATTGTCTAATCACTTTTATTATTATAATCAGAAATTATGCCAAATATTTTTGTTTCAACACAAAATGCACAATATAATATTGATAATAATATTCATTTTAATTATTTATCGTTAGTTTTGCAAGAGCAATCATTAAATAATATAATTAAAATTGCTTTCGATTAATTGATATTCATTTAGAACTTCAATCAAATATATTTGATATATTATTAAACGAATTTCTTAATCATAACAATAGTATTTCTGAAGAAGAAATCGTATTACATTATAATGAACAAAATAATCATATAATTAAAAAGATATCACAATTTAAAAAAATAAATAAAATCAGAAAAGAACAAGAACAACATCAAAATCAAATTATAATTCCAACGCGTGACTCAAATTCAATTGTAGTCAAATTACAAGTATCAAAAACATTATTTTTTCGCAATGTTCAATAGTTTACATTTGATCAAAACTCATTTTTGATTTTATCTCATCAAATTGAAGTACAAATTCATAGTGTTGGTTTTAATTTTCGAGATATTTTAAAAACACGTGGTTTATACACTCATATTTGACTATTTGGTATTGAATATGAAGATCATTAAGCAAGTGCTCAAGATGAAGAAATTAGTTTCGATTTGTCTAGTACAAATTACTAATCTTGGTTCAAATGAAAATCAATCTTTTACAATTGGAGATCGTATTTTTGGTAAAACAATCAAAACTGATACATGTAAATCATATATTGTCGTAGATCAATATGTCATTGTTCAAGCACCAGAAAATCTCACGATGAAACAATTATGTACGATTCTTGCGAACTTTTTAACAGCTATTTATGCTCTATATGAACATGTTAATTTAAAATCTGAACAAACAGTATTAATTCATACAGCAACAGAGGAAAAAAGAAAATTTCTACGTGATGTTTATCAAATTGAATACGTATAATTGATTTAGTTATATTGAAAAAATTTCAAACAGAAAAAAAAACATCGCTTACTGATAATTCAATTGATTCATTCGATTTTCTTTTCCATTTCCACCTGCAACAACTTGTTCATTCTTGGCATCAGAGCTTCATTCAATGATACGATGATTTCCACAATCAGCAATATAAATAGTATGATCATCATTAATATATGCATACTGAGGATTATAGAGTTGATTTTATTTATCATCTTTACCATGTTCTCTAGTAATAGTAATTACATTTTGTCTCCATTTCGTATTAACCCTGTGATTCCGGTACCCGTATATATACAGGCTAAGTCTTTATGTATATTATAACTTATAAAATCTTCTCTCTTTCCCTTATGCTTTCGATATCAACGCATGATACCAGTGGAAATCTATGTCATGTGAAAAAGAAGGAATTGTGGATTTAGAGGCCTATAAGAAATCATAGACTATTTATATATCAAATCGTTAAAAGCATTGTGAAACCAGATAGAAATCTGTAAAATTGCGTATGATTCTGGAACAATAGTCGTCCTAGAAAGTTGCGATTACAACTGAAGCTCTGATCGTATAGAAGCTAAGACGTCAAATTTTATTAGATCAATATTATGATATGAAACAATAAGGTTATTCATAGAGCTACGTAAAAGATTTTGCAAGATTTTTGGGCAACTTTTAAACTCCAGAATTCTATAGTATTAGTTGAAGCCTAATATGATTTGTTGCTTCTCTTTGACGTATATTACTCAATTTCTTGTTTCTATCCACAAACCCATAATTTTTGTTATTATTACAGAAATTCCGTAACCAAAGGGTTAATATTAATGCCGTCAGGAGAAGAAATTAGTTGTACCTAGAAAATAAGGAAAACATTTTTTGAAAGTTAATTTTAATTGATTCTTTTTGGAACAAAATCAATGAGAATGTGAAAGTATAGAAAAAGTTTTATTAACAAAAAGATTAATTTTTTCTTTAAAAATTGTCAAAAGCAAAAATAACTGTATAAAGTCAAACAATTGATATACTGTCTTTGTTCGAATGTTTGAATATGTTTTTTACAATCAAATACTGTATCAATTATCATAAATTTCTTTTTTCCGATTCAAAAAAATTGTTTTCTAAGATTTTCTTTGAATAAATTGGTTTTTCTATTATCGTTGTGTATAACCATATATGAACTAACGAGTTAGGGTGGATGTTGGTGTAGGTTTAGGAAGTATGACATATCCACACTCATTAACATTTCGAAACTCAGAGATCAGACGTACACATATTAGGTTTCTAGCATTTTTAATATAAAGCATGATTTGCAATAGTCTTAATGAATGAATAAATTTTATCTTTTACTGATCGCTTTCATTCAATAATAATCCTACATGATTGTAAAACACAAACATTGTAATCTGAAGTATATAGTATTGAAAATCTTGCTTAAACTATCATGCAAAGCGTCACTTTTTATCTAGAAGCAAAAGACAACTTTATCATGAAGAAACATGCTCAGATTTTTCTGTTAACAAAATAAAGATTATGTATCTATTCGAAACACTGAATCATTCAAAAAAAAAACAACCCATCATTGATTCCAGCTTTTTGGATTAATTGAATTGTTGTGATTTTCTCAATTATCTCCACAATAACTTTATACAGCATTCCAAACTGACATACGATCATTTAAAGTTATTTTTAAAAAATTTATTTCTGATATTGAATTAGATGCTAATGTCAAAGTATATTTCTTTTTTATATCATAAATAGTTCACTGAGAATATTTAATTAATAACTTCTTTTTTGAAAATTCATTCCAAACAATAGAACTCATATTAATATCTATTTATCCGATGAAATCCATACGAAGAAAAATAATTTAACAATTGGAAAAGTTTCTTTTACTGCCAAAGAACAAAATCTTTTCCGTTTCATCCATCCGAAGTTTTGAATTGAAGTTATATATTTAAAAAATCCCGAATTGTTATCTTAACACAATCACAAAAAACTACATTAAAAATTTGAAATCGACCTTTAAATAAAGGGATCAATCTTCACATCATATCTCCCTTAACTTTTACAGAGAAAACTTCCAATGAAATATTTAAAATTTGAAAGAAGATAATCTGTAAATTAACAATATAAAGCATGTCAGAAAAGTTCTAAAATAGTTTTTCAAATGCATTGTTCTTGCAATCAACAAAAGTGAATTCTTTGAAACTTTGTCATTTTAATGCATCTCTTCAATACTGAATAATTACAATGTTTCAGATCTATAGTTTTTCAATGAATGAGAAACTGTCACAAGACTATGATGTAGTATATTTTTCAATTTTCTTGAGGATTTTCATTATAAAATAATAGAACTTTTCCATATACAAAAAAAGTCAAAAATATTTGTTAATTTGATTACCATCTGGATTGAGTTCTACTTTTAATCATGACAATGATTACTCTATCACTTATTGCCATTGGGAAATACTAGAGTTTATTCCATTGGCTTTTTAATGTCATTGTTTAATTGTTCAATATTAGTGTATTTCTGCTCTTATCATTTTTGGAATGTGGGTGCTAGTTCTTGGAAGTTGTCCTAACCCACACCCACCCCGCGTTCATTTGAATAATAGTATGAAATGCACTACAATATGGGCTCTCTCTACAAGAGGATGGTTGAAATTATGGTTACCTGCAATATTTCAAAAGCATCTTTTTCTAGTCACAACCGAAATACAAAATGGTTACTGGTCAATCATTAGGAGGATTTAAATGATGAGCTGGAATAATTGACCATTTGTTTCTTTTATTAAAAAAATACTCGTTCTGCGACGTGAATATATTCCGTGTATGTTAACATAAAAATCATTTACAAGACGGAAAAGATCTGCAAAAAAAGTCTTGCACAAAATACCTACATCCATCGATTTTCAACTTACTTCGTTTAAGTATTTTATTGCCTGCAGTTCTTTATCGGCATTTAGACTATTATGATTATTATTTAACAAAATTGAATCATATTCAAACTTAAGAATTATTAATTTCAACTCATTCAGTCGAAATAGTTGATGCTGAGTTACGATATTAGAAACAATATGTAAAAAGAAAGAACGGAACAAGATTCTATCGTTACTGATGGAAAATTTTCATGAATTATTTTCCTTTTGAAAAGAAATCAATATGTTTAATAAGATTTTTCGATAGAATTATTTTTTAAAATAATATTCCTTTGTTTTGAACAAATCAATATTCCATAGATATCTATTGCTAAAAACAAACAATAAATAACAAGACAAACTTTTCTTTTATTCTTAATAATTGTCTGTACAAATATCAATCAGCATTTTTTTTAAATTTTTAATTGAAGAATTATTTGTCTAACCTTTCGAAAAATGTTTGAACACATTCACTTAAACTATTGTTGGTACTTTTGATTAAATCAATAATAAATTTCATAATAATCATCTGACGACTTCTATTTTCCATAACAGAATAATTCTACAATTATTATGGTTTTTTCTGATAACTTTTAAAAATAAAATAAAATCTTTTTGCCCCCTTAATATCTTCATCCATATACACCATGAAGTTAAAGAATTGATTATTTCTTCCGAAATTAATATAAGGTTTTCTTTAAGAGAGGGTCCATGAGAAAATCGACCAACTTAAATAGAGAACTGCATCCGAAAAATTTTACATTTTGGAATAAGTTGTATCATTCGAAAGCCCGTGAAAAGTTATTCTTAAATCCCAATTTTTAACTCTTTCTGCAGAGTCAATCAAGAGATATAGAGTGATCTTTGAACCTACTCTCAGATGTTTTGTTAAAAATTTGACAAATTTTGAAGAATTCAATTTAGCACTTCACAACAACATTTTTTACTATTGAACACCCCACTTTTTTAGTATCATTTAATGTATCTCGATTATAGATCTATTGAACTCACTATCATAGAACAAGATTCTCAAGTACAAATGTCACCTAAGGCGCTTTTTTCTACTAAAAAAGACACAAAAAACAGATCATTTTTTTTGCATTTTTTTAGTATTTTTGCCCTAAAAGCATATCAAGACAATTCTCTCCCAAACAAAATTAGAAGCAAAAGATAGTCCATGAAAAACTGCATCTTTCTATATATGACTCAATAAAAAGCAACTTGGTAGGCTGAATTCATTTTTTAACACAAAGAATGACCCCTATGCAAGTTTTTGTATATCTTTAAAAAATGATTTATTTTTTCGCCAGTCAAAACTAGATGTGCTTATAGATTTTAAGGTGTTCATTCTAAATATCGAAATGGGAACTCTCAAACCTGTTTTATTATTGAAACAGCTATAACTACTCTATGGACTCATTTGTCATTATAGGGGCCTCATACAATACTTGCTCCATACAATTTAGGTTAGAATCCATGAAAAAACCGGCCAAATTCAATAGAGACCTACATACGAAAATTTTTTTTTTGAATGAGTTATATCGTTCGAAAGCTCGTGAAAATTTATTCCTAAATCCCAATTTTTAACTCTCTCTAAAAAGCCTATCAAGAGATATAAAGTGATCTCTAAACCCACCCTCAGATGTAATGTCATAAATTTGACAAATATTGAAGAATTATATTTAAAACTTCAAAACAACATATTTTACTATTGAACACCTCACTTTTTTAGTATCAATTGGTGTATCTTGATTAGATCTATTAAATGCATTATTGTAGAGCGAGATTCTCAGGCATAAACCCCACGTAATGTGCTCTTGACTACTAAAAAAATTGAGAAAAAATACTTTTTTTGAAAATTTCTCTTATTTTTACCTTAAAAGTTTGTCAAGGCTATGCTCTCTCAAAAACAAAATAGGAGCAAAAGATAGCCCATGAAAAACTGCATCTTTTCATGTATAACCCAAAAAAGTAAAATATGGAGAGCTGATTCAACTTTCAAGTACAAATGTGACGACTGGATGATTTTTTACGATTTCCGTTACTTTTTCTTTGATTGAGGCAGGATTTTATCATAGTTTTCTGAGCAATGTTGCATATTCTATTTCGAATTCGTTTTCAATACTAAAGCATGAGTCTATTGCTCTCTTGAAGGGTATTTTACTATGCTTATAACCAACATCTAGGCTCTCATATCGCATATTTTGCAGAATACATGAGAATTCTGTAATGTAAATTTACATTTAGAATGTTCAAAAATAATACTTTGTTTTATCAGTCAACTTTATCTTACTGTACTATGTAGTTTGAGTGTTCATTATTAAAAGCAATCAATCACATTTTTCTCATTCTCAGCAATATCTTTTAACGTTGAGATTGTTTTCGTTTCAACGTATTCTACATGAAATATGCTTCTATATTAACAAGATATTTGTTAATCGTTCGATTTAATTCAGCCATTGTAAGTAAAATATATATGTTTTTCGGTTATTTTTATGGTGTGGGTGTGGATGTGGATGTGGGTAATATGTTGTGTTTATTCACACCCACACCCTATCAAAAATTCATGCGAACTAAAGGAACACTAAACAACTAAAACAAAAACACAGATTGCGAGACTTTCTATCTGATCACTACCCTAAACAATCGATGACTACGACATAAGCATGTCAAAAAATATGCTTTTAGTAATCCAACTCAGTAAAAGAAAGCAATCTCTAAATCATTGACTCTTTACTCATACGAAATAAACGAGGTACACTATAAACAAAATGATGAGACCGAAAATACAGTAATAAAAGAGAACTAATTTCCTATTTGTTTTTGTTAACAGATGGTAGATAAACTACGAATGCGATCCAGAATTCTTAATTAAACAATATGGCAACACAATAGATGGGATAGTGTCTCAAACTTCGAAAGAATAATGGTCTGTGAAACGATAAAACAATTCATATAAAATCTTTACACATTTTTCTGACAAGCTCATTTCATGTTGATCAGTCAAAGTATTATGATGTTCGCAAAAAATCGATAGTTGAACGAAACATTTTTATTTAATTTCTCACTAAATAGATAAATAATTATAGTAAACAAAAAATGTTCAAAGTTCTTGACGAATACTTTCGAGTATTGATTCAAATTGTTTAGCATCTTTTCCAAGTAAATCAAGAAGACGTTTACGAGCTTTTTGTACTACGCCGTGCCACATATTTGACATTGAGACAAAACGTGTTTCTAGAACGACAATAACAATAGCCGACACTACAAGTTGTTGATTGTTAAATGATGGAAAGCTTGTTAGTGTCTTTCCAGTCAATTGTTCTATATTTTTAGCATCCAAATCCCATAAACCATCAAATTTTTGTTTGTTAATCAAATAACGAACAATGTTTTCATCGCCTATAGGCCATTTGTCATCTTTTGGTGATTTTTTCACAGGTGACAATTGTGAACTGGCCGTAGCAGAACTGTAAGGGATATTGGTCGACATGCATTCGTCGAGCTCGTTTATGTCGGCATCACTTGATAATTCATCCAACATTTCGCATACGGTCTGATTTTGATTACGTACCGAACAATAATCATCGTCATTAGCATTCATCGCTGGCATGCGTAGATTCATTCGAGCCATCGGCATTGCAAAGCATGCCATCGGTGCAGCAAGAGGAAGCATCATACAGGAAGAATAATTCCTAAACTGGGGTGTTGACAGTAAATGTTCATCATCAGCTGATATTTGAATTGGTACTTCTCGCAAGATCATATCATCATTGTTGCCATTCGTTCGCTTTTCAACACCAATAAAAGCAGTATGTGGACTCAAAATGTGATATTTAAGTGAAAGTTCAATTATTCGTTTCTTGACGTTGTCTTTCTCGTCGATCATCGTCGTTGGTGATGTTATCAATGCATGATCTTTCTGAAATCGACTTTGTAGCGAACCAGTAACCTTTTGCTTAGTCGATGAGGGTAATTTCGAATGTTGTAATTCGAGAATGAGTGCTTTAGCAGCGAGTCGAGCAATTGTCCCATTGACACTAACCTTTGGTATAGAATCAATTTTAGCTTCACCTAATCGGCATTTATCAGTGTGTAATTCGACACTAGAATTATGATTGAAGACAAACATTGGATCATTAGCAATTGCATAAGCAATCAAACGATCATTAGCATAAGCTGGTGGCATTTTATTAGGTGCACTCATAATGTTGATACCTAGATTCCATTTTACTTCAATGTTTGTTATACAAGATTGTAATGCTTTTTGTAGTTGTTCACCAACATGAACATCAACACTACTGTTAGGTGGAATAAAAACGAAACGTCCATTTGTGGCTCGAGCAAGACCTTTAACTAATGAACGACTTGGTGAATGACCCAAACCAAATGAAAAAATTCGTGTAGAATTAGCCATCGATCGACACAAATCGAGTACTTCGTTAACATTCGAAATTTCTCCATCGGTCAATAAAAATATTTGTCTTGCACGACCTTGACTTGGAGAATGTTCTTCTAACCATTGAAGTGGACGTAACTAAAATAGAGACAAATAATTATTTATTCAAAATAAAATCAATAAAACTAACCAATTCAGTACCACCCAAATCGGCTCTAAGTTCATTGATAAGTTGTTCAGCCTTTCTGGCAGTTTCTTCATTGTAAATAGCAGTAATCTCATTGAATAATGCTTTATGATTTGATCCGAATCGAATGATATTAAAATGACAATCGAGTGGAAGACTCTTGAGAAAGAGCAACATAGCTTGACGTGCTAATCCGATTTTGTTTTCATCTTCCATCGATCCACTACAATCAACAACAAAAATAAATTCATTGGTTGTCTCTTCATTGTTCATTGGGCGTTGACAATCTTGTTCAGTTGGTGTAAATGAAGCCATAACAGCACCTGGTTCTACCGTGACAATGGTATTCGAATGATTATCAATTAATTCAATATCTACCAAAATATCTCGATCTAAATGAGTGTTTTGTTGTGCTAGTTCGAGAACATAGACATCCTCTTGACCAAATCCGACCTGAATCGGATGAGACGCCGAACTGACTCGAGAGACATTGACTTTCTCAACGCGACAGTTAAATTCAACTGTATATGGAGCTGCTTGAACATATTTCGATGTGGTACCAGCTGGTGAACTAATGCCTCCTTTGCCGGGATTATACCGAGGTGCAATCGTTGTTGGAATAACAAAACGAATTCGTTTTCCATGTTGAATTAAATCAAGTTCGGAGACATACGAAATAGAAATATGACATTCTTTACCTGCTGGTAATGAACCAACATTGATAATAAAATTATCTTGAGATTTTTCATCTTGTTCGAGTAAATATGCTCCATGTCCTTGTTGAAGAGCATCACTGTATTCTTTTTGTGCTTCTTTTTTTTCTTTTAATTGTGCAACAATTTCTCGATCATCAATTCGAGCAATAAATGAATAAATAGCTGCTTGTTCTTCTATAGGGAAACAATAAATGGCTTCAATGGGTTTCGCCTCATCGTTTCGAAAAATTTGTTTAATAGTAACATCAGCCGCAAACGATTTAATATACGCATCGACAGTTACTTTTTTCAACGGCACATATTGTTGTTCTGGTTGGGGTGTGCGGAGGGAAGTGTCTTGTTTGATTCGAAGCATTGTAGAGAATGATGATGTTGCTACTATTGTAACACGCTTAAATACCCACTGCTTGCAGTCGAATAGTAATGAGTCAGTATGAAGAAAAGAGCAAAGATTACGACAATGTGATTCATCGAGAAAATATACTCGATATTATAATGCCTTGTAATAACAGCGTCAGTATAAAGAATAGTGCGATTATGAATCAGTTAGCGAAGGAAAGATAGAATGTATCTCGTTTGTGCACAAAGTCCAAACGTGAAAAATTTTATGCAGTCGAATAGGATTGGAAAGAAAACCGAGCGATTCAAAATTTGAGCAATAGTTTTTTTTTCTTTGAGTTACATGTCGTTAGATGGAGCTCACGAAATTAATATAAGAAAAAAAATGCTCTTTTTATTTATAGAAAAAATTCTAAGTAGTTAAACATGTCAATCAAATGCGACATTGTTTTACTTTTAAGCAGTACTACAATCTTGAAACTTGAATTAAACTGAAATAGTTCTCTTTCAAGTTTCAAATATTTCTCGATCTGGGTGTTCCTATCAGTCCTCTCTTGTCATGCACATCGACAGATACGTGAAAGTGGGACCTGTAATCTAAATTTTTCTGTCCAACTTTATTTACTATCTTTAATTTTTTAAGTCATTGAACTTGTAATTCCTTCTTTCTGCCTACAAGATAAAAATTTAAGAAAAAAGACTGCGATACCTTGAATTCTGACATACTTTTGCAAATAAAATAAATAAAAAAATTAGCATGAATTTGGATTACTAAATCAGCTGTTTTTCATCCTTATTTGGTCAATATCTCCATGAAACATCATACTCTAGGGCTGAAAATTTTACTAAAATGATAGCTGTAACATGTCCTGAAAATGTCATGGCATTCGAACATACCTGGATTATGTATGATTTTTGACATTGCATGTTTAAAGCCAGTACCTAATTTTTGTCGTACTAATTGAGCACTTCGTTTAACTCGTTGACTAAAAACAGGTGGTGTTAAAATAAGCATCCTAACAAAATAAAAATGGACTTGTTCTATTACCATCTTCAATAAACTCTTCAGTTCGGTTCATGTTCAATAGCGCTGGTTTTGATAATAGAAGTTTAGGAGGCATTCGGATATCATGTAATCAAACGTACATTCTTGGGATTTCNGATAATATTGAAGAATTATTAATTAATTTAGAAGATGATAATGATGAAAAACAAGGTCATCCTGTTCTTGGTCATATTCATGTAGCTAATTGTGGTAAAATCCATTTTTAAATAAGCCAAACGATATACATCACCAATATTTTTTATATTACAATATTCATTGTTTGGATCAACCGTACGTGTATAAAGACGATTGATGAGAGCTTGTTCAGCTTCGGAACTATTCATATCATTTATTAATTTAGACATTTCCATTAGAATAGTTTGATGAAGATGTTCTCGACATAATGTACTAGCCGCTTTTCCATTATAACCATCAAATAAACTAATATAAGCAAATTTTTCTTTACCACCTAAAATTAAATGAAATGCTTTATCATTTTATATGTATTATTCAGAAAAGAGTTGAAAAATCGGTTCTCGAGAGACGACGATGATGTTTGTTTTCTTTCAGTATAATAAAAAAAAAGATAAGCATAAAGCAGAAGACGAAGATAGCAAGTGATGCATACTAATTTTATATTAGTGTATATGACACACGAGTGTACCAGGTTTCTATAAGAAAGTAGCATGTGAGTTAATAATAAAATAGTATTGAATCTAAGAGTTAGATAAAGAATAGATGACAAAATTTTTTTTTCTGTTTTTCTATTTTTCATACCGAAACAATCAATAAATCTCACTGTATCTTCCATATCAGGTTTATATTATTTATGTTGATTAGTACACATACCAATACTAAGAAACATTCGATTACGTGGTGGAAAACTGATACCTAAGATAATTAGTATTATCTACAAATATATATTTTAATAAGAAAATAAAAATCACCTTGTACATTCTATGCTTCACGATTATCATATATACATGAATTATCTCCGTAATAATAAGGTTCAATAGTTCGTTTTATAATTTGAAATGCATCATTAATAGTTTTAACATATTTCAAATAAGATTCTTCAGATATTTTTAAACGTTGCATACGTTGTATAAGTAAATCTCGACGTTTAAGTACTACATCTATTCTATTTGGCATATCCTTTTTTTTTTATAAAAAAGATTTAAAAAAAAAAAAAATAATAAATCGAGATTTTTTTACTTTGAGTTTAAATAATTTTAATGCATTATGATAAGCTGTATGAATTTTCAATTAACTGACATTTAAAAAACATTTACATATGTCACATAATATAGTTATATCTGGTTTTGTATAATCAATTATATGACCAAGAGCACAAGTAGTTAGAGAAAAATGTAATAAATATTAAAAGTTAATTTATTGAGAAGTCTTACTAGGACCATGTTTACTTGATGTAGAAGAAAAATTATGAAGTGATTCTTCTTTTTGTAATCCTGATTCGGATTCGGAATCAAACATTTCTGAAAATGCAAAAATAGAAAAATAGAAAAAATAGATTCCTAAACCATTGTCTATCAAGTTTATTAAAACAAAAAAAAACATAATTATTCAATAGCATAATGATTTGTACGAGGTTTTTCAAGATGATGAGGTATAAAAGCTATAGGTAATAAATCTCGAAGTTTATACATTTTTTATTCATTTTTTGTATTTATAAGATAAACATCGAAACCAAGACCAAATTCAGCTAATGTTTGTCGACATGAACCATATGGACCAATAAAACCTAATTCAACATCCCTAAACAAAAAGAATTATATAGTGATAACTTTTTTCTTCCTGTTTAAAGATAAACTTACCATGTAGTTGCAATTGTTTGAAAAGATTGTTCACCTTCAGATACAGCTTTAACAATGGTTGTACGTTCAGCACAAGTTGATAATGGATATGAAGCATTTTCAACATTACATCCATTATATATTTTTTCAGTTGATGTTAATAAAGCTTCTCG